TTTTTTTTTTTTTTTTGGAGGTGAGAATCTTCAAAAGACCGTCAGGGAAGGTGTCCCTGGTGTGTCGGATTCAGTCCGTCTCGCTGTACCGCGTGTCGAGACCGCCTACCGACTAAACTCACCTCCTCTTCCTCCAGCCGGCGGGTCTGGAACCGCTCTTAGCGAGCATGTCTGACCCGTCGACCTTACTCATAGCTCCCCCTAACACCCCCGGCGTGAATTCCATGGTTGGTCAGCTTCACGGACGCCTTCCCCGCACAGCGAAGTGACCGAAGACGGGAAAGAGGGCGGTCGGGACGCTTCCCAACCCATGATGGAACCAACCCTAAGATGTCAGTCGGCAGTTACGAATAACTCCAGTCGTTCATACCTTCATCTATTCACTCTTTCTCATCCACCCCTTATTCTATACTTAGTCTCATTCAACTCCAGTCATTCCTTACTTTCATCTAGACACACCTACTCATCCATCTATTCATTCTAACATTTAGATGGGGCAGTCTGTGTAGGTCGGATGTAAAAGGTCCTTCCCTGCTGACTGTCTCCAGACGAAACACGACATAGTTTAAAGTAATAAAGAAAGAAATTAAAAAAGAAATAGAAAGAGAGAAAGAGGAGGAAGGATGAAATGAAAGATAGAAAAGAAGCCAAAGAAAGAAGAAGGAAAAGATAGAGAACATTAACAGGAAAAGGAAATTGAAAGTGAAATTGTTCAGCAAACAATAACGTATAAATAAAATCAGATCAAGAATAAAACAACGATAAAGTAAATAAATATATAAAACTATGATAAAATAAATAAATAAGTAAAACCGTGTAAAAACAAAATAGGATAAGTTAAAATTAGACAGTCAGTGTGGTTTGGGTGTATATGGTCCTCCCCCCACTGACTGCCTTTTACGACACAAGACACGTTAAAAGATAAATATACGGTTATCCTGTCTGCAGTCGCCTCTCTTTTTCTTCTTTATGCTTTATTGTCTGTGTGACAAAAGCAATGATCAGGTCGAAGTCATGCTTGCTGTCGATAGCTTTATCAATTAGCTCGCGAGGCTCGCCTAGGGGGGATCCCAGGCCCAGCTGCAGTTCGGTGCGTCCAACGTGATATGCGGGGCATACGAACACGACATGCTGCGCGTCATCCACCACTCCGCACTCAGGACATAGATCGTTCTCGGTTTTTCCTATACGATGGGTGTATTTCCTGAACGATCCATGCCCTGTCAAAAACTGTGTGAAGTAATAGTTGACGCGCCGATGTCGACACCCGTACCACCTCACTGCGTCCGGGATCAGGGATCTCGTCCAGTCAGCCTTCCCGACTTCGGCTGCCCATTCCCTCTGCCACGTCTCTAGACTTGTAGCTCTTTCCTGTGGCCCTGAACCTATCGCTCCGTTGCCCCTTTGGTACATTCTGGCTCTCTCCCTGGCCAAGATATGCACCGGTACAGAACCGGCCACCACCTGTAAAGCAATGGTTGATACAGTCCTGTACGCACTGCACACCCTGATCAGGGGTTTCCTCTGAGCCCTAATAAGCATGTCTTTGTACTTTTTCATCCGAAGGACCTCGTGCCACACTGGAGCCCCGTATAGTATTATGGACAGTATTGATTGAAGCAATACTGTCCTCTTTTGGGATCCGGGTCCCCCGATGTTGGGCATTAACTTGTTAAGTGTTGAGGTCCTTTCTTCCGCCTTCCGACATGCTTCTTGTACATGCTGTCCGAAAGAGAGTCTGTCATCGAAGGTTATACCTAAGTACCTGACTGTCCTTTGGGGTCTTATTTCGGAGTCTTGGTATGCGAAGATTATATCGTTTCTTTTTCGTGGTCCCCTCAAGATTATTGCTTCTGACTTTTCTACTGCTAGTTTTAGGTCGTTCTTCTCTATCCACGCCGCGGTCGTTCTTATCGCATTATTTACCTTATCTTTTATTCCCCAATTCGTATCGTCTTCGACCAGTAAAGCTAGATCGTCCGCGTATGCTATCGCTCTCACTCCTCTCTTTTTGTGTATTTCTAGTACCCCGTTGTATAGTATGTTCCAAAGTAAGGGTCCCAGGACTGACCCCTGGGGTACTCCCGCGGTCATTTCTTTCTTTTTCTTCTTGGATATACATACGGATCTTTCCGATAAGTAGTCCTTTATTATGTTGGACATATACTCTGGAGCCCCAGATTCGACGATTCGGTCTACTATGAGGCCCCAGTTTGCTGAATTAAAAGCATTTCTTATGTCCAGCAGAACAAGGACCACCCATCTTTTCTTGCTTGTCTTGGCCGCGTCCCTTATCCAGTTTGCGGCATCGACTGTCGATCTGCCTTTTCGGAATCCGTATTGTTGGTTTGATAGCATTCTCTCATCTTCCAACACGCGCTCCAGCCGCCTCTTGATAAGTCTTTCATAGAACTTACCAAGGCAGTCCAGAAGGCATATTGGCCGATAAGAGGCCGCTGAATCGGGGGGTTTCCCAGGCTTTAGCAGTAGGACCAAGTTCGCTTCCTTTAAGTCTCTGGGAAACTCTTGCTTCTGCAGTAGGTCGTTGTATATTTTTCTGATCAAGCCTGGTTTCTCCGTTGCTAGTACTTTTATTGCCTCTGGTGGCAGCCCGTCAGGGCCGGGAGCTTTCCCTGTCTTTATCTCTTGACCAGCGGTTTTTATTTCCTCTTCCGTGAACTCCTCTACCATTGTTGGAAATATTTTTATAAAATTTTTGGGATCCTTGGTAGGGAAGAGGAGTTCGGCTGATTCCATCCGCTGGTCTACGTCAAGTCTATATGGGGCGATTATCTTAAGCGTCTTCATGGTTATCTTGTACGCATCGCCCCATATATCTTCGTCCAAAGCTTTTATCAGGGTCTGCCACTTTTCTTTTTTCTCTGTTTTATTTTTTTGTTTAACGTTTTCTTTAGATCTTTATAAATTTCTTTGAGCTCGAGGCTGCCCTGGCTTCTCGTATAATTCCTTCGAGCTCTGAGGCATCTCTCACGTAGACCTTCTATCTCATCCGTCCACCAATAGGGGGCTTTTTTATTATTCTTTTTCTTCACGGTGGCCAACTTTACTGCGCTTTCTAGTGCTCTTCTCAGTTGGCCAAGGTCAGAAATCTCCTTTTCATTGATCTTTCTGACCTCCGACAGGTACGTGCTTTTGTTGAAATAAATTTCCGTGTGTTCTATCGGCCGCCTTATTCCCCCTTTCATCTTTATTTCATATTTTATATACCGGTGGTAGGTGAATAACTGATCGTCAAGGACATCCCATTCGTGCACTCTCCTGGATAGCCCTTCACTCGCGAATGTAATATCGATGTGTGTTTGGCTGGCCCCTCTTACGAAAGTTGGTTTGTTATTGTTTAATACTTGGAGGCCAGCCTGGGCTATCCATTCGTTCCATAATTCCCCCTTTGCGTCGTTTATGGGGGAACCCCACAACCTTGATTTCGCGTTGATGTCTCCGGCGATCAGCACTTCTTTTTCATTCGTGGCGGCGCTCATTATTTCGTCTACAATTTCTTTGTATCTTATCATAGGGATATTTGGGGACACGTAGCATACCAGGAGGCTGAAATCCCTCAATTTGATGAGGATATGATTTCCTCCCCTAACAATACTTCGCACCCCCAAACCCCTATTTCTAAAGAGCACCGCCACGTTTTTCCCGTTATCCTGAACCCAACCACCGGATGAAGTTATCTTTTTGTTTGGTTCCGGGACGATGAGCAAATCTGTTTCTAGCTTGCAGGCTTTTACGTGGAAGTGTATACTAAACCCATCAAATTTTGGGTAGTATATTTTAAAAAAATATATTTTAGTTGTTACAATTTAACATAGCTATTTATTATATGGTGCAGATAAATAAGTATTGATTGTCGGTAATTCGCAAAGTTCTATTTTATTAACTATTTAGTTTGTTTACTATTAATATTGGTTATGAGTACGTGTGATTGGTTGTATAGTAATTTCCAGCCACTTTTAGTCTGTCAAAAAGTAACTAACTTGGCAAAAAAATAATTACTAAATTAACTAGACAGTTCGGACTGGGAATAGCGAACCGAGTATACTACCTACTAATAACTATTAAATTATATAAATATTTTTTTTCACACAACACTAGGGCATAATTAGGCCCTCTTTGTGTGTTTTTTTTTTTTAAATTTTATTTAAATTTTGTTTTATTTTTGTTTGTTTTATTTTTTTTTGTTTTATTTTTTTTATTCATTTTTGTTTGACAGTTTTGATGTGTCTCTTTATCTTTCTAATAAACTGGATTTATTGACCACGTGACAATCCTATTGGTCTTGTTGATAATAATTGGTTTTGACTAATTTTTAAGGTAAAATCATGCCGATAATAGCTTTCTACAACAATTAATTTTTTTTATTATCTTACGAAATATAGCTCAATATATGAAAACTATCCTTTTTACAACATTTTTGAAAAACTGAGGTACCTTGGAAATGTAAATTTTCTTTTATCTACCTTTTTCCAAATTTTTATTCTTGATTTATTCTTTTTGGGTCATAGTCTTCTTTGATTAGGCTAATATGTTTTTTCGTTTTTAAAGAATCACCAAATCTCCACTTTCTCTATCACTTAAGTTTTAAATATTAATTGGGTAATATGTAGTTCATAAGTTCATAATAAAGACATACCACAGTGTTAATTGAAAATGTAATTCGCCGGAACAAATGAACGGAATTAAAATTCTATAAATCATGAAAATTCAGAAAAGATTGTTATGGAATATTAACGGTGAGAAAATAACAAATATAAAATAAATATTCTAAAGACTTAAAAGGTTGCAAACCGATTTAGAAAAATTCAACTACAAAGTCTCTGTAAAACGTTCAAGTACATAATCTTGAAAAGATAACCAATCTACTAGTGAATTTAATAATATAAACATATCTATATCACGTCTTGTAATAGGTGTATATTGTCAAATAATTTTGTATATTTGTATAGAAAACTAACTTGGCCTTTTTTATTTTTTAGATGGTGATATCGATCCGATGTGGATAGAATCACTAAATACTCTTATGGACGACAATAAGGTACTGACACTAGCGAGCAATGAACGAATCGCTTTAACAAAAGCAATGCGACTTCTCTTCGAAATAGCAAATTTACGAACAGCGACACCTGCTACTGTATCAAGAGCAGGAATTCTTTATATCAATCCAGCTGATTTAGGATGGAATCCCTTTATAGCATCTTGGATAGATACTAGAGAATTCCAGTCCGAAAAGGCAAATCTAATGATTTTATTTGATAAGTATGTGCCACCTTGTTTGGAGCACACTAAAACAAAATTAAAGAAAATCACTCCTATATCCGATATAGCACATCTTCAGATGTTGTGTCTGTTATTAGATTGTTTCTTAACGCCTGAAAATGTCCCACAGGACTGTCCAAAGGATTGGTATGAAATTTACTTTGCTTTTTCAGTAGTTTGGGCGTTCGGATCCTGTCTCTTCCAAGATCAAATTATAGATTGGCGTAATGAGTTCAGTAAATGGTTTACAAATGAATTTAAAACAGTTAAATTTCCAGTAGGCTCAAATGTAAATGTTTTTAGCTTTTACATTGATGACGAGACCAAGAAATTTTGTCCGTGGACAGAATTGGTTGCACCTTTTGAACTAGATCATGACATACCTTTACAGGCCACTTTAGTGAACACAGCAGAAACTACAAGAATTAGATTCTTCGTTGATCATTTAATGAGTAAAAGAGCTCCAGTGATGCTAGTAGGACCAGCTGGCAGTGGCAAGACTGTAATAGTTCACGAGAAATTAAATACGCTGTCTGAAGCATATGCCGTTACTAATGTGCCGTTTAACTTTTACACTACATCTGAAATGCTTCAGAGAATTTTAGAGAAACCTTTAGAAAAGAAAGCTGGCAGAGTATATGGTCCACCTGGAAGTAAAATAATGATTTATTTTGTTGATGACATGAACATGCCAGAAGTAGATAAATATTTTACCGTACAACCTCACACACTGCTGAAACAATACATGGATTACCAACATTGGTACGACAGGCAAAAACTTACACTCAAAGATATCCACAATGTTCAATTTATATCCTGCATGAACCCCACTGCAGGTTCTTTCACAATAGATCCAAGATTGCAGCGTCATTTTTGTGTATTTTCATTAGGTTTTCCAGGACAAGATGCTTGTTTTCACATTTACAACTCAATGTTTAGCCAACATTTGGAAGATCCGACAAAGAAATTTGCACCTTTACATATGCGACTTTGCGAAGGTATAGTTTCTGCTGCATTAGCATTGCATTACAAAATGGCATCCAATTTCTTGCCAACAGCTATTAAGTTTCATTATACCTTCACTCTAAGAGATTTGTCTAATATTTTCCAAGGAATGTTATTTGCTACTGGAGATGCTATTAAAAATCAAAATGATTTGATAAGACTTTGGATCCATGAAGCAAGTAGAGTATCTAAAGATAAGTTGGTTGATCGTGCTGATCAAAACAATTTTAATAAGATCTTGGTGGAAACAGTCAAGAAAAGTTTTGAAGAGTTAGATGAAGCTGCGGTATTTGAAACTCCGTTAATTTTTTCTCACTTTGCTGAAGGAATTGGAGATCCCAAATATTTCCCAATTGTAGATTTTAAACAACTTAGTCGTTTGCTAACAGACGCTTTAGGTGGTTATAATGACCTAGTAGCTGCAATGAATTTGGTACTCTTTGAAGATGCTATGTACCATATTTGTCGTATTAATAGAATTATGGAAGCTCCTAGAGGAAATGCGTTACTAGTTGGCGTTGGAGGTTCTGGAAAACAATCTCTGACTAGATTATCTGCTTTTATTTCGTCATTCGAAGTTTTTCAAATACAGTTAAAAAAAGGATATTCCATGACTGATATGAAAACCGATATCGCTAGCTTATATTTAAAAATTGGCCTAAAAAGCATAGGAATTACATTTCTAATGACAGATGCACAAGTTCCAGAAGAATCTTTTTTGGTATTAGTGAATGATATGTTAGCTTCAGGAGAAATCAGTGATCTATTACCAGAAGAAGATGTTGAAAATGTAATAAATGCAATGAGAGGTGAAGTAAAGGGTATCGGACTTCAAGATACCAGAGAAAATTGCTGGAAATTTTTTATTGATCGTGTTAGAAGATTGTTAAAACTTGTTTTATGTTTCTCGCCTGTGGGATCTACTTTAAGAGTTAGAGCAAGAAAATTTCCAGCATTGGTCAACTGTACTTCGATAGATTGGTTTCATGAATGGCCAAAAGAAGCATTAGAATCAGTATCAGAAAGATTTTTAGCAGAAATTGAAGTATTGCCGATGGACCTCGTAAAATCAGTATCACTCTTTATGTCTTATGTACACACGATAGTTAACGAATTATCACAAGTTTATTTAACAAACGAAAAAAGATACAATTATACTACACCTAAATCGTTTCTAGAGCAAATTGATCTTTATAGTAAACTGTTGTCAGAGAAGACGGAATCAGTAAAAAACAATATTGTAAGGTTAGAAAATGGAATAACCAAATTGGCTTCCACGTCACTTGAAGTAGATGCTTTAAAAGAAGTTTTAGCGGTACAAGAAGTAGAACTTTCCGCCAAAAATGAAGCAGCTTCAAAATTAATTACAGTGTTATCAGCTGAAAATGAGAAGGTAGCAGCTGAACAAGAGATAGCCAGTGAAGAGGAAGCAAAGGTAAGAGTAATAGAAGAAGATGTATCTGTCAAAGCTAAAATTTGTCAAGAAGATTTAGCTAAAGCCGAACCAGCTTTAATAGCTGCACAGGAAGCTTTAAATACACTCAACAAAAACAATTTAACAGAATTAAAATCCTTTGGTTCACCCCCGGAGATTGTAGTGGAGGTTTGCGCAGCAGTATTAGTTTTGTTCTCTAAAAAAGGAAAAATCCCGAGAGATAGAAGCTGGAAAGACTGCAAGCAAATGATGAATCGAGTAGACGTATTTCTAAATGACTTGTTGACTTACGATAAAGATAATATGTCGCCGGAAGTTGTGAAGGCTACTTTGGAATATGTTAAGAATCCGGAATTTACACCTGAAAAGGTTGTAACAAAGTCATTAGCAGCTGCAGGATTATGCTCTTGGGTTATTAATATTTTAAAGTATTATGATGTTTTTGTGGTAGTTGAGCCAAAACGAAAGGCCTTAGCTCAAGCTAATAAGGAACTGAATGAGGCAAGACAACGACTAGCGGAACTAACTGATAAATTAAATATCTTGGAACGACAGTTGGCTGTACTTAGGGCTGATTATGATGCAGCCATTAACGAAAAGTTAAAATGTCAAGCTGAAGCAGATGCTACTGCCAACAAAATAGATATTGCAAATAGACTAGTTGGTGGTCTGGCCTCAGAAAATGTAAGATGGCGTCAGCTAATTGGGGAATATAAGGATTCTATAATAACGTTACCTGGAGATATACTATTAGTATGTGCTTTTATTTCTTACGTTGGTTGTTTTACCAGAAAGTATCGTACTGATATGTTGCATAAGTATTGGAGCCCTTTTCTTACTAAACTTGACGTACCAATTCCAATGACAGAAAACCTAGATCCTCTCATTTTATTAACTGATGATGCTAAGATCGCTCAATGGAATAACGAGGGTTTGCCTACGGACCGTATGTCTACAGAAAATGCTTGCATTTTAACGAATTCGGCTCGGTGGCCTTTGATGATAGATCCACAACTCCAAGGTATTAAATGGATAAAGACTAAATACGGCGAAGAACTAACAGTAACTAGACCTACCCAAAGAAACTATATTGATGTAATAGAAAAATGTATTACTGATGGAAAGGTAATCCTTTTGGAAAACATCGGTGAAACACTAGATGCTGTACTAGATAATGTTCTTGGTAGAGTATTGATTAAAAAAGGGACGTGCGTTAAAGTTGGAGATAAAGAAGTTGATTTTGATCCCAACTTCAAATTAATTTTACACACGAAGTTAGCTAATCCTCATTACAAACCAGAAATTCAAGCACAGACTACACTGATTAACTTTACAGTAACCAGAGATGGTTTGGAGGAACAGTTATTGGCAGAAGTAGTAAAAGCTGAGCGACCAGATCTGGACGCTTTAAAATCAAGTTTAACAAAACAACAAAATGATTTTAAAATAACTCTTAAAACTTGCGAAGATAATTTGCTCTATCGTTTATCATCTGCAACAGGTAATATATTAGACGATATAGAGTTAGTGCTTAATTTGGAGACAACGAAAAAAACAGCAAATGAAATCGGGGTAAAAATGGAAGAAGCGAAAGTAACTTCTGTTAAAATTGATGAAGCAAGAGAACAATATAGACCTTGTGCTGCGAGAGCATCTCTTTTGTACTTTATTCTGAACGATTTAAACAGAATCAATGCAATTTATCAATTTTCGCTAAAAGCATTTAGCGTAGTTTTTAAAGATGGTTTAAGTAAAGCTCTTTCGGCAGAAAAACTCAAAGAAAGAGTTATTAGTTTACTAGACAGTATAACGTTTGCCGTGTTTATGTATACCTCTAGAGGATTGTTTGAAAGGGATAAGCTAACATTTACAGCCCAAATGACATTCCAAATACTCCTGCAACTCGAAGAAATTGAAGCATCAGAGTTAGACTTTTTATTGCGTTGTCCTTCAATACCGAACTTGACATCCCCCGTAGATTTTTTAAATAATACCAACTGGGGGTCTATAAAGGCATTATCCGCTATTGAAGAATTTAAAAATCTTGATAAAGACTTAGAAGGCTCGGCCAAACGTTGGAAAAAGTTTGTAGATAGCGAATGTCCGGAAAAAGAAAAATTTCCTGGAGAATGGAAAAATAAAAGTACCTTACAAAGACTTTGTATAATGCGTTGTTTACGACCTGATAGAATGACGTATGCTATTAGCGGTTTCATTGATGAAAAACTGGGAAATAAGTATATAACCTCGAGAAGTGTTGAGTTTGAAAAATCCTTTGAAGAAACAAGTTCCCAAACTCCAACGTTTTTTATTCTATCTCCTGGTGTAAATCCACTTAAAGACGTCGAAAAATTAGGAAGAAAGTTAGGGTTTATGTTTGATAAGGGAAATTTTCACAGCGTATCTTTAGGACAAGGGCAAGAGATAGTCGCTGAAAATGCCATGGATGTAGCTGCCGCTGAAGGACACTGGGTTATATTACAAAATATTCACTTGGTTGTTAAATGGTTAGCTACGTTAGAAAAGAAAATGGAACAGTGTGCTGATACTGGACATGAAAACTACAGGTACTATAACATTTTTTTGTAATAACGAATATTCTTTTTGATACTATATTGGTTATTAATAATGTGTGGGTAGCTAACTCGGTACCTACACACTCATATCTTGACAATGATGAAATTAAATATTTAATGCGGGATCATAGCCTGTCATATAGGACATTCCACAGGATGGGATCTAGTACTGAACCCTGCGGAACACTCTGCGGAACACCCTACGACAAACTGATGCTGGTATCTTTTTCTCTTATGGACATGTCAGTAAAGTATATGTCAATTACGTTGACCAGGTACATACTAACGCCCAATTCTCTCAGCCTGGACATGATTTTTTCCCATGATGCCCTATTAAAGGCATTCTTGACGTCAAGCAGGGTGAGAGCCACCTATCCCTTTATCCTGGGCAACTAAAGAAAAGAGATTACTTCTGTTACCGCATCTATGGTGAACCTGTTGGCCATAAAATCATATTGGCTTTCGCTTAGCGCATGCTTCTCTTCCAGCTCTTGCTCAAGGCGGCCTTTTACAAGCTGTTCGTACAATTTAGCTATCGAACTAAAAAGGCAAATTGGCCGAAATTGCACCTCCTCCTCTTCACCTCTAACTTTCAGGATAAGGACAACCTTAGCTTCCTTTAACTTTGTTGGAAACTGCTCTTGTTCAAGCAACTTGTTTCGCAATCTCAGGAAAATCTGCGGGTATCTTAGTACGGCGAGTCTTACTGTCTCCGGTATGACTCCATCTATGCCAGATGCTTTATCCGTTTAACAATCTTGCCGAGTTTACAACTTAGTAAAAGGTTTCGCATCTACGAAACCAATAACCCTTTTTCGCCTATCCTCCACCTGAGGAAAGAGTTCCCGTATTAAACGAACATTCCTGTAGACATTCTGCATTCGGTTTAGTTCATTTATTCTCTCTTGCAAATCTCCTGCTTGTACTCTTTAACCTCCTACACTCCCTGTTCACTCTCCTCCTCCACCCTCCTAATTTATTCTTAGATTTTCAAGCTGCTCGTTCCACCAGTATGGTTGTTTTCTTTCATAGCTCCCATTTGAGCTTACACAAGCCAACTCCTGTGCATCACTTAGACCCTCAATTAACTCACGCACATCCTTACATCCCGAAAAATCAAGCTAAAAGCATCTACAAAAACCTCCTCATTTAAACATCTATTTAGATATATTAATATTCCATGTCTTAATATTCCATGTTTCTATTTATATCCTGTTAATTTTTCTTTTATTTTAATACTTTCAGTACCTCCTTATATCCAAGTACTAGTCTTTGTGACCTGTATAAATCCAGCTTTACCATCCGCCACAAGTTGTCTGTAATTCAATTTATCTGTAGTTCTCCTTCGTCCTCGTACCCGGAATTTTCGTCTGCCAAAATATTTTAGTAGAAGCAATAAAAATATCCTCAATTTTAGTAACATCGCTTACAAAATGTCATGCTTCATTCAACGTAAAACCGGAAGCAGTTATTGTGGCCAATACCCTTATATATAAATATATTATTTAGATAGGTAACATTACAGATATAACGACAAATGCCTAACGTTACCATATGGTAACAAACCATTAATGAGGTCAATTATCGCTATGGTGTTGCTATCTTAGTTGCAAAAAAGGGCAATTACTTTGTAATAAGTTTTACTCCTTATTCTGATAGGATCTTATCAATACAACTTCAGTCTAAAAAAGGTATAGTAAATTTTATTTAAGTTTATGCTCTTACGGCAGATAAAGATGACGACGATATCGACGACAATTTTGCCAGACGAAAGAATTTGTAATAGCCAATACACTTTTTAAGCTACCAAAACGAAGATTGTGTACATGGAAATCTCCCGGTGATACAACGAATAGAATAATCCGAAATTAAATTGACTTTAGACAAAGATTTCGTAATTTTACACTGTCTGCCAAAACTAACCCGGGGGCAGACATCGGTTCAGACCATAACCCCATAGTAGTTACATTACGAACCAAATTAAAACTGGTTAAAAAACCCACACAAAGTAGAATTGATATTAAGAGATTAAAGGAATCACAAACAGGAACAAACTGTAAAAACTCTTACTGAAAGTCTAAGTAATGCCCAAGAACTGAATAAAAGTAGCTATAACATTGATCAGTAATGGGAAAATATAAAAGTAGCAATAATTCAAACAGCAGATGAAACCTTAAAACCAAAGAATAGAAAACATAAAGTCTAGATGACTGAAGAAATACTCCTATTAACGAATGAAAAAAAATCAGTCAAAACAAAAAATCCAATTAAATATAATGAAATTAATCGATTAAATAAAAAGAGAATAAAGAGAATAAATAAGAAGCTCAAGAGAGAATGTTAAATGAGCAGTGCCAAGAACTAGAAGAAATTTAGAAAAAATATGACTTTTTTAACATGTATAAAAGAATTAGAGAATTAACAGGAATGAGAAAAACACTCCAAACTAGGCAACTAAGGGATGAATGTGGTGCACTAATAACAGATATAAACAAAAAAATGCAGAGATGGACACAATATATAGCACAACTTTTTGAAGACAAAGAGAGAACAGAAGCACCAAAAGTATTTAAGGATGATACTGGGCCTGACATTATAGGAGAAGAAATTGAATATGCAATGAAACAAGCAAAAGGTGGTAAATCTCCGGGCCTGATGAAGTTTCTATCGAATTACTTAAAATTGCGAATACTAAATCTATTGATCTTCTTTTGGATCTATTTAATACCATATATAAAACAGGTATAATAACTAAAGAATGGCTCCAATCAACATCCATACTGCTTCCCAAAAAAGCCAATGCAAAGGAGTGCAATGAACATCGCACTATAGCCTTAATGAGTCATGGCTTGAAATTGTTTTTAAAAGTAATTCACAATAGAATACATAAGAAATTAGATGAAGGCAAAAGTAATACAAAAATGGGATTTAGGAAAGGACTAGAAACACGCGATGCCATGTTTGTAGTAAGTGTTCTTTCGCAGAGATGCTTAGATATTAATCAGGAAGTATATGCCTGTTTCATTGATTTTGAGAACGCGTTTGACAGAGTGCAGCATAATCGGCTTAAAGAAATTTTATTAAATAAAAACACAGACAGTAGAGACATTAGAATCATATGTAAACCTCTATTGGAACCGAACAGCAAAAGTGAAAGTTAAAAATAAACTGACCGAGGATATCCAGATTCGCCATGGGGTCCGCCAAGGGTGTATTGTATCACCCTTGTTATTCAATTTATACAGTGAAGTCATCTCAGAATTAGCGGTTGCCGAGATCAGTGAGGGCCTTATAATAAACGGTGAGCCACTTAATAACATAAGATATGCTGACGACACCGTCCTTTTGGCAGGAATACTAGAAGAACTGCAACACCTTTCTGAACAACTAAATATATATTGCAACGATTATGGACTAAAAATATATTATTATTGGACATCATCATCATCATCATCATCAATCAGCCCTGAGTTGTCCATTGTTGAACATAGGCCTCCTCTAGATTTTTCCATCTGCTTCTGTTCTGCGCCTCTGCTATCCAATTGGATTCTTTTGAGGTCGTCGGTCCATCGCGTTGAGGGTCTTCCTCGGCTTCGCTGGTCAGCCCGTGGTCTCCACTCAAGCAATTTTTTGCCCAACTGTCGTCTTTCATTCTTGCAACATGTCCAGCTCATCTCCATTTTTGCCTTGTAATATGTTCGATAATGTCTTCCACTCCGGTTCGTCTACGGACTTCCTCGTTTCTTATTCTATCTCTTAAGCTTATTCCAAGCATTGATCTCTCCATCTTTCGTTGTGTCCTTCTTAATTATTGGACATACCGGATAATAAATAAATATATTAAAAACATAGTCACCTTAAACATATATATGTTGTTAAGAGTAAGTTTGTTAACGTGTCATCAATTCTTCGTGTAGGTTATATCTCAGTGCGGAACCATCAGCCGATCCTCAAGAATGTGTTATACCTCAAGGAATTTTAGAATCTTCCATTAAGATTACCAACGAACCACCTACGGGAATGTTTGCCAATTTACATAAAGCTTTGGACAACTTCAATCAAGAAACCCTGGAAATGTGCAGCAAAGAAGCAGAATTTAAGGCAATATTATTTTCGCTATGCTACTTCCACGCAGTCGTTGCCGAGAGACGAAAATTTGGTCCTCAGGGATGGAACAGAAATTATCCCTTTAATGTTGGAGATTTGACTATAAGCGTCAGCGTGTTGTACAATTATTTGGAAAATAATAACAGGGTAACTATTATTTTTAATATATTTGCAATAAGAAAAATTTAAATTTTTTTCAAAATATATTTATTAATACTTCAATAAAGAGAATTTGTTACGTATTTTTAAAAAACTTTTACTTTTTGATATGATCTGCTGGCATCGTTAATAATATTTTTTTTACTTTATTAATATTTTGTTTCTTTCATAAAATATTCGTTTAAAACTAATTTAGGAGCCTTAACAGCATTCACTCATTTATCAAAAATATCCATATCGTTTTGTGGACTTTGAAAATGGTATTGATTGCTACTAGTAGGTATCCATGTAATCTGGAACACATTTTTTTTGTTGAATTCTTCGTGTTTCCATTATTACTTCATGTAATGTGTTCGATTTCATAATTAAAAAATCGTTCAAAATTGTACCTTTTTGCACTATATATGAAAAAACAAAACAAGTGAAGAAAGACTTTCACTTAAATGACATAAAGTGACAACGAACAACGCACAAGAACGAGACTAGCGTTACCACCAAACGGAAGGGTGCCACATAAAAACGTGCGTTGACTTTGGCTATCCTTGTTACCAACCTAGTTTTAATTTGTCTGTAACTCGGTCCAGCTAGGTCCTTAATTATAACTCCTTCATTTCAACCTAAGTATAACATACAGATAAGTTACAACTAAAACAAGAAATATCGGTTGTATACATACCTGATCTCCTTTGCCCCTACGAAATTACAAAACGTAATAAGCAAATAACCAGTCATAAAATCAAGACAATACTTTAGCAGATAGTTTTATTCTCAGAACTAAAATGGCACTTGAATGTCAGTCACATATCTAACAGGTGATACTAAGCCAATAAATTACTATGTAAACGGAAATTTAGTTTTTGTCTAAGCATATGGGTTCAGTATGCTATTATATTTATTCCCATTTAACTCTCTCTACATGTCGTCCTCTTTACATTTTTATGTCTGATATAATCTGTTATTATAACTAAATTATTTGTTTGTTTCTTTAATTTTCACACAGTATGTCTACTACACATTATGTCATTATTCACAGGTAAGTAACAGTTATGGTCTATTAGGTAATTGTTGTTCGTTAGTTTGCACCTCATGGGATTATTGGAAACTGTCATTAAATTAATAAGATAACATAAATTATTTTGCTGCTTATGCGAATTGTATTTTGCTTGTTGTGTGCATTCTTGACCAAATCACATCGTTTTCAACTTTAAAATTGACATTTTTTTAGCTTTCTTACATTTTCTTTAATTAGTGTTTTGTATAAAATTAAGAGGTCGCTGGTTAAATGATATTAGATAAATAATTATAAAGTAAAAATGCAATATTTGTTTGTAAATAAATTAGCCAAAAATAGCAACTATCAATTGTGAATAAATTACGAAATTTACTGGTCCTACTCATTATTGTTGTCTGTACAAAGAATATATACTTACCCTTTGAAATATTGAAGTCGTATTCTTAGCCCGGGAAATCTCGCTGGCACCGCGTCGGGACGGCTGGGTACTCCGAGGCTGTATCAAACTAGGTCCATTTCTTTCGCTGTTTTACGAAGAAGTGAAGTACGTTGAGATGGTCAAAACTGAGGAACCCTCTACCGTTACGTGGTGGTCCAAGAGGGTATACCAATAAATCATTTTATTGTATTGCGACTTTGAGTGGCGAGAATTTAAGTTAATTATCACGGTAATACGAAACCTTACGTGACACAAAATACAAAGGAGAAAGCCAAATTCTCCGTACTTAAAACATAATAAATAAGCTAGCCATTAACAATTTTATGAAATAACAGGAAGCAATATGTTTTAACAAAGTCGTTAGAATACGGCATTGAATTAGATCACATTGCAGTACCGTAATAAAAAAATATTAAATGTAAAAATTTTTTTTTTTTTACATCCTTTATTTATTGAAATCTGTTTCTACAAATAAAAAAAAAACAATAATCAATATGTTTATCAAGTAATTAACATAGGGGAGATCAGTCCAGTGACAGAAATCCTTAAGATAAATTTCTAATATATATAAATATTTGAAATATAAATAACAATTTACAAAGACATTTTACTAACATATTAAAAAAAAATAGCAATATTTAAAATTAAAACAACACACACAATTATAAGTTGTAGGTATTTGTAGTATAAGTTGTAGCTATAAAATGATATATATATACGTTTATGTATATAAAGGTATAGAGAGGTCTAGAGGATCACGTCGTTTTAGTCTTCCTCTCCTTGGTCGCTTAAGTAGGTCTTGGGCAAGTGTATTTGGATGGTTTAGTAGTCTATTTTTGTAAGTGCCACTGAGTGAGACAACGGTTGTCTTTAATATTTTGGATCTGAAGATCTCGGTGTATAACATAATTGGGCACGTACCACGGTGCATTGGTAATATGTCTCAAAACTTTAGATTGGAAACGTTGAAGTTTCAGTAAGTGAGAATTAGATGCTGTACCCCATATCTGTATACCGTAGGTCCAAACTGGCTTTAGAACACATTTATACAGTAATAGTTTATTATGTAGACTTAGTTTGGATTTTTTATTCATGAACCAATACATTTTCCTGTATATTAATCCTAGTTGCAGTCGCTTTGTCCAGATGTGCTTTCCCCAATTTAGTCGGCTGTCAAAATGTATTCCCAAGTATTTAACATCACTTTTTTTGGGTATTATGGCATTGTTTATGCACACAGATGGTACACTCTCTTTGCGTAAAGTAAATGTTATGTGTGCTGATTTGCTGCCATTTACTTTAATTCGCCACAGTTTTAGCCATTTCTCTAGTTTATTTAAATGAATTTGTAAATTTTGACAGGCTGTAACAGGAACCGAGCTAGAAGCCATTATCACAGTATCATCTGCATAGGTAGCGATAGTGCTTTTTACTGTTGTGGGAATATCTGCCGTATAGAGTAAGTATAAAGTTGGTCCCAATATACTACCCTGAGGTACTCCCGATAGAATTGGAGATATGTTTGATACTGCTTCATTGCATCTGACCTGGAAATATCGATTGGTAAGATAGGATCTCAAAAGAGCATACAGAGGATGAGGAAAGTGAGTTTTTTATTTTAGATAGTAGCCCCTCATGCCATACTTTATCAAATGCTTGTGAGACATCCAAAAAGGCTGCAGTGCAGTATTCTTTCTTTTCAATCGCATCTCTTGCTACTTTGGCAACTCTATGTACCTGCTCAATTGTTCCATGTTGTTGCCTGAATCCAAACTGATAATCGGGTATTAACTTTTGTCTGTCGATTATAGAATTCATTTTCTGAAGTAGTATCCTCTCAAATATCTTAGAGATAATGGGAAGCAAACTGATTGGACGATAGGATGATAGTTCTTGTGGATCTTTATTTGGTTTCGGTATTAGAATAATTTGTGCCATTTTCCATTGAAACGGAAAATAGCCTAACTTTAGTATAGCGTTAAATATATACATAACCAACCGAAATCCTTCTTCGGGTAAATTTTTGCAGATTTTTCCCGATATTAAATCATACCCTGGAGCTTTTTTAGTATTGAGATGTTTAACTAACTCTTTTATTTCGTTAATTTTGATATTTTCTATAGGAGGTGACATCTGGTAGGGTGCATCTAAGTTCTTGTAAATGAATTCTTCTTCTTCTTCTGAGATAGTTCTGGAGTGTGGTTGAAAAACTTGGCTGAGATGATTAGCGAATGCTTGTACTTTATCTTCATCGGCCTTGGCCCAATCACCGTCTTTATTTCTAATGGACCGTCATGCTTAATCTGATGTTTAAGTTTCTTAGAGAGTTTCCAAATAGAGTAGTTTGTGTCATCCGTCGCAGTAAGACTTTCAAGAAATTCATTTATGCCCTGATCTTTGTATTTGTGTAATTCTCTTTTAAGCAAACGAGTGGCCCTATTCAGTTCAGTTTTGTTCTCAGGAGATCTGGAAGTTTGCCACTGTTTTCTAAGTTTTCTCTTTTCGTTGATTAAGATTTTTATATGATGTGGATATGGTTCACAGTTATTACTCCGATTTAGATCTGGAGTTGCTCTCCAAGCTGCCTGTTGAATGATTGATGTAAGGTGATGAACTGCTTCCTCAATATTTTCACTTGTTTTAAGAGGAAGATTTAGGTTAATTGTGTTTTGAATATTAAGTCTGAACAGACTCCAATTTGTTTTATGATTTGAAAACGTGGGGTATTTATTTGTATTATATACATGTTCCATCACATCAATAAATATGGGAGAATGGTCCGACGAAAGGTCAAAAGAAGGTTTAATGTCTAAAAAGTTGTTACTTATTCCTTTTATGATACCAAAATCAATGAGATCGGGTATTTTATTTCTATCTGTAGGCCAGTAGGTTGGCTGCCCAGTAGAAATTGGAGTCAAGTTATTTTCGTTTAAACTTTTAATAAGTTCTCTTCCGCGAGTTGTTATCAGTCTTGAACCCCATCTTGTATGTTTTGCATTAAAATCACCTACTGCAATAAAGCGATGACCAAGCCCTTTGAAATAACTAGAGAAATGGTCCTCTTTAATTATTTTGCCAGGGGGACAATACGCAACTGACATCGTTATGTGCCCTTTACTGAGTTCTACAGATATAGAGGTTGCCTGAATGTTGATTTCACACACTTTATTTATTTCGTGATGTTTTATATTACTTCTAATGATTAAAGCAGTTCCACCATGACCTTTTCCCATTGGGTGTGGATGTGACATAGGTGCAAAAATCTGGCATACTAAAATGGCTCTTGTTTGTCATATGAGCTTCAGAGACCATCATGATATCAAGATTATGTAACTTTATAAATGCCTTAATCTCCTCACTATGGTTTGTGAGGCCGTTTGCGTTCCAATATCCAATTTTAATTTTGGGGTTGAACATTAAGTTTTGATATCATCGTTATGAGGAGGTCGAACATTTTATCCATTCTATCCATAAGTTTTTGGACCATCAATTCTAAACTGTTACTTATTTCTGTTGTATTCAGTTTTTCCTGTGTAG